AATATTATAAATAAAATATAAATTAATAAAAACAAATAATAATTAAACAATTAAGTAATTTAAATGAAAAAATATTTTTACTCAACTAAATTTAAAATTATTATAAGTAATAAATTAATGAAATCAATAACAAATTTTTTTCATCTAACTACTTTTAAATAATTTAAATAAAAAATATATATATTCATTTAACTACTTTTAAAAATATTATAAATAACAAACAAATTAAATAAATAAAAAATTATAATCAAACAATTAAATTATTTGAAAACAAAATATATAATCATTTATTTAAATTAAAAAAAATTATAAATAACAATTTTATATTACCTTCATCATTTCCCAGCCTTGCTGCTTCTTGTCTGGGGTGATCTTCTTCCAGTCCTGCACGTAGATGGGGAACAGCGTCCACTGCTGACCAAGGAGGCGCACGTACTTGTTGTACAACTGGCCACCTTTCTTCGTCGGTTGCCCCAACTCATTGAGCGGCACAACCACTCGTCCGCTCGTCGTCATAGACAGCTCTCTGGCTGTCAGCCTCCGATAGGACTTGTTCCCCTCAGTGTCTGCAAAATTTAATTAAGAAATAAATTATATATCAATAAATTAATACAATTTCTATATAAATTAAATACTGATCAAAACTTTAAAAAGTTAAATAAATACTTACCGACAAATTCCACCTCATAACCAGCCTGACGTCTCGGAGCAGGACGCTGCGCAGCCTGGGGATACTCATTCCCCTGATCCTGCTCCTCCTCCTCCTCCTCGTCAGCAGCATCAGCATCAGCATGGGGTTGCTCATCCCCAGTAAAATGAGCCTCCTCAGTCCGCTCAACATCATCCTGCTCCATAAAACTGAGGATATCCTCCTCGCTGAGATCGTAGTCATGAATGCCGGGGAATGGCTCACCAGCATCATGATGAACCTCACTGGGTCCAGCTCTCTCAGGATCAACTGGGTCTTTCCCGTGTCGACGAGTCATCCTAATAACAACAAATAGTAATTATTTATAAATGAAATAAAAAGAAAAATTATTTATAAGCTACAACATAATAAAATAAATAAAATAAAACATAAAATAAAAAGTATTTATCAATAAATTACTATTTTTACCTGAAAATAAGGATCTGCAACTGAATCAGAACTCGAATATGTTTGTGGAGAAAATTCAGCAGAGCTTCGCTTCCAGAACGATTGAAGAAGTGAGAGTGTGGGGGGGTATATATAGACCGAGAATTCCTAGCGGTTCGGTCCAAACCGCTAGAAATTTCTAGCGGTTTTGGGCCGAACCGCTAGGAATTCCCAACGGTCACATGTGCCTCGAGAATTGGCTAGCGGTTCGGTCCAAACCGCCAGAATTTCTAGCGGTTCTCGACCGAACCGCTAGAAATTTGTAAACTCCTCGGGGAATGAAAAATATTTCTACCGGTTCATGCATCAACCGCTAGAATTTTTCGGTGTCTAGCGGTTTATTGGCCTGAACCGCTAGAAAGTAAACGCTACAAATTTGGCGCCAAGTTCCCGCCAAAGCCCGGGGAATTTTCTAGCTCTAATTTTCTAGCGGTTAGGTGGTAACCGCTAGAAATGTGCGGGCAATGGTCAAACCGTCTGTATTTTGCAGCGCTTTTTATAGAAACCGCTAGAAATATTTGGAATTTCTAGCGGTTTAGTTGAACCGCTAGAAATGTTCCGCTGCTACTTCAACATTTTCTTGTAGTGTGAGACAGGTCCAAGCCTCCTGGACCCAAGTAGGAACCTGAAGCCCTCTTGTGCATGTTCGGGTATTAGTTCAAATAAAAGGTTTATGGCATTGGATTTGGCCTATTATGATAGACATGCGTGCCCATGAGACTGAGGACAGAAATATCGTGGAAGCTTCCGTAGAAAAAGGTTTGAGACTTTGTGAAGAGGCTAAGGTAGAGGATATGCAACGGCAAACAAAACCAATCTGAGGGAAACAAATTAAAAGGGTTTTCAAATGACATGAGGGGAACTTTGTAGATCATATACAGTCTATATATTACATAAAATTTATTTTGAGAGCAAGTTTTAATTTCAACAGGGATGGGTAAGCAGTATTAGAATTGGGAGATCATAGGTGGTGACGTGGATTGGGAAATTCATTAGATTTTGGTTGGAGAAAAAGAAAACCGGAGAAATATGATAGTGGATTCTGCCTGATACTGATATTAATTGTCAAGTTCTGTTTTCCTTCTTTTTTGGCATATTGAATTGACCGATGTGATGGTTTCTTTTGTCCTGCCACGAGGATGTGCAAATCTGTGGTCGATCTATGGGCTGCTACGGTGTTTACTTTGTTTAGTTTGAAGATTTATCTCGGTAGTCAAACATTCCTAAAAGATGAACTTAGCCCTTTTTTGTTTCATTTTTTCGTTACAGCTATCTAGACTTTTGGATTCATTCACGTTTAGGAAGTGTTTGGGTAAAAATAAAACTATAGTTTCAGAAGTATTTTTACGATAACGAAATAAATATGTAAAAGAATTTGCTTCGATTTGTAAAAAAATGCTTCTAAAAAGTGATTATAGGGTTACTCAAACACTCTCTTAGTCGTCACATAGGCCCTATCAGAAAGCCTTCCCGCCAAGTTTATTTTTTCGTATCCTAAAATCATATTTATGAAAAGCCACCGCTTGTAATTTGACCTATAAATGCTAAATAACTAATTTTAAAATATTTAAAAAATTAATTTAATTAGTTATGCATTATAAATTTGTGTTGGTCTTTTTAAACTAGCATTTTTAATTATATGCATTGGAATCATCCTTAATGGGAACCTCTTGCAATCTATATGAATATTTTGGAAAAAGATAAAAGACAAAACATATTAAGTTCTTATATGTAGAATCAATTCAATCTCATAGCCAGCTTTTATATTAAAAATCAAAATTAGAATAAAATTTCAATCACCCAATCCCATACGAGCTACCTATAGTTAAATGCTCCTTCCCGTGATGTTTATAAAATTCTTTTAACTAAATTATACAATTTAGAAAAATATTTAAACTAGTTAAGAATAATAAATATGTAAAAGTTAACTTTTGTTTTAAATATATCCTTATTTAATAATGAAAAAAAAATAAAATAATGAAATACTAATAATAAGATAAAAGATAAAAAAATGTATTAGTATGAGAAAAATGAATAGAGAGAAATAAAAATTAATTAAGAACAAAATTGGTTTAAAATTTATTTAATATTCAGACACTCATAAGCATGCAATATATTTAATATTCAGACACCCATAAGCATGATCTTATTAAAAAAACCAAATTAATTTAAATTTTAGGATCTTATAAAAAGAATTCGAGAGTAATTATGTATAAAGATTGAGCAAATTTGATATATATATATATATATATAAGTTAATTATATGTGGAAAAAAGAGGATGGTTTTTGTAACATATCCTTCCTTTCCATTATTTATACTACATCTAGTCCTTAAATATAAGAGCTAATTTAACTTTTAATTTGACCCTAAATATAAGACGTCAATCCACTTTGTCTTTAATATTTATCTATTTTGTCCTCAAGTAATTTTTTTAGTAGTTATATATGTTAAAGAGTTACTATCAATGGGGAATTCAAACACACATGATTAATAAGAGTGTTTTAGGAAATGCTACATCTATTTGCTGCAAATAACTAACTTAACTAATTTTTTTTGTCTTTCCAAATTGGTCAACTAAGTCCTATATTAAGAATCAGAGGTAGTACTAGAATATGATGACCATATATAACATTACAATACCAAATTCTAACTAAAAGGGTAACTTGTCAAAAAATACTAATAACTCATGTGCTTAATATAAAAGTTAGTTAGAAATTAAGTTTGGTCCTAAATATAAGACTTAAGTTATTTTATCTTTAAAATTTATAATGTTCTCTCTAAAATATCATATAGATTGGAAGGGATTTCTATTAAAGGATACTTTTTAATACGCATGATTAAAGAAAGTAGTTTAGCAAAGTTAACACATATTTATGACATTTAATCACCTTAACTAATTTTCTTAATCATGAGTATGAGTATTTTCAGAATATTAAGGACCATATGTAGTAACAAATATTAAAAACAAAGAAGATTGACATATTACATTTATAAGTAAAACATATTATTTAACTAATTTCTTATATTTTCAAGTCGAAAGAAAACTAGCTCTTATATTTCAAAACAAAAATATCACAATTCAAATATATAAATACTTCAAGAAAAATTATACAAGGAAATTTTCTCAAAAAAATTAGTCTAATCAATAAATTATATTTCTATTATTTGTTTTTAGTTCAGTCTAAGAATTATACATATATATATAATCCGTAGGAAAAAAACCATTATTCACGGGTTACCAATATTATTGCTCATTGATCAAATTCCATACAATATAATTAAACATCTGGTTCTGTATATAATAATAATAATAATAATAATAATAATAATAATAATAATAATAATAATAATAATTATTATTATTATTATTATTATTATTATTATTATTATTATTATTATTATTAGTGTCTGTATATAATTTGGTAGATTTTTGAATTACCACTAAATACTTTTCTATTGATAAGAATCAGGAAAATTCTAGTCATTTCTTATAATGACGCCAGCACCCGCAATTTTCCTGTCAGTTTTCAAAGTAACGTATATATTCAAACAATCCATGTGGAGGTTTAGAAAGAGGTAGTTAGACTTAATAGGAATAGTAAAACATGTTAATTGACGAGTAGAGGCTTTGACAAATGTGATTATTTTTCTGTAATTAAGTTTTCATCTTAGAATATTCTACGTGTATATAAGTATATTAGTGTAAAGTTTGAATTATGCTATATATTTACAATGAAAAGCACATGTATGATCTATACAGTGGATGCGCATGATCTGCAGAATATGTAAATGTAACCTATATATACGTGCTTTTAATTACCCAAAAAAAAGAGAAGAAAAAGAAGACACAAATTAAAGCACTAATAATAGAAAATTAACAAATCATCTTATTATATTTGGAAAAAAATAATTTAGTGTGCGTCTCAGGACACAGCGCATGATGATCAAAATATGATAGGCATAAATTAAAAAAAAAAAAACTGGAAAAACAAAATAAATAACAAGAAGCACACAAATCAGAGGGAAACAAATATCAAATAGAAGATTCAAATGCCCAACTCGGTCTGGACTTCGAGAATGGTTTTAGCAGAGTCCCTCAGCTTCTGAGCTTCCTCTTCGGTGAGGTGCACGTTGGTGACACCCAAGACGCCACCTCTTCCGAGCTGAGCCGGCAAGCTCAGAAACACCTGTCCTCCGTCGTCAATGCCATGAAATCCGTTTGCGAGCACAGAGACTGGGTGGATCTTTCTCTGGTCTCTCAGAATGGATCGAGCCAAGCTCGCCACCGAGTACCCTATGGCCCAACAAGTATAGCCTTTCAGACGAATCACTTCATAAGCACTCTCCACAACTTGCTTGTGAATGTTCTCTAATGTCTCCTTCTCGTACTCTATCTGCTGCTTCTCCAGAAAGCTCAGCACCGGAACTCCTCCGATACTAATACTCGACCACAAAGCCACCGAACTGTCTCCGTGTTCCCCAACTATGAAAGCCTGCAAAAGTTCATATCTTTCAATGTTAGTTAAAGCACGGCAATGAGAAAATAGTGTATCGCTGGGGAATATAAAAGATGATTAATGACCTGCACGTCCTGAGCATTGACGTCGAGATGATCGGCGATGAGGAATCTGAACCTGGAGGAGTCCAGGTTGGTGCCGGATCCGAGGACTCGGTTGGATGGGAAGCCGGAAAGCTTCCATGCAATGTAGGTTAAGACGTCCACAGGATTGGAGACGATGAGCAGGACAGAGTTTGGGGAGTAACGAGCCAGCGGGGGAATTATACTCTTAAACATCGTGAGGTTCCTCTGAAGAAGATTCAGCCTGGACTCGCCCTCGCCCTGGCGAGCGCCGGCGGTGACGATACAGAGGTCGGATCCGACGGTGACGGAGTAATCAGTAGAGGCGTAGATCTTGGTGCGAGGGAGAAACGCGGCAGCGTGCTGCAAGTCGAGCATCTCTCCTCGGAGCTTGTCCGGCAAGGCGTCAACGAGGACGAGCTCGTCGGTGATATCTTGGGTGAGAATGGTCTGGGCTATGGCCATGCCGACGTTGCCGGCTCCGACGACGGAGATCTTGGTGTGTCTCTTGGTAGGAGAGGGAGGAGAAGTGTGAAGAATGGACTTGAAGAAGGCTTGGGATAGGTCCAGGCCTCCTGGACCCAAGTAGGAACCTGAAGCACTCTTATGCATGTTTGTGTTACTTTGTTTTGAGAAGAATGTGTCGCTGTGAAGGATTAATGGATGAAAATAGCTTATTATAAAGCATATTTATAGACATATATGTCTCTGGGATGGAGGACAAAAATATAATATAATAGTACAGAGAGGAAGCTTCCGTAGAAAAGGGTTTGAGACTTTGTGTTGTGTGGGGGCTAAGGCAGAATATTTTTCAACGGTAAAACTTTCTGACGACGGAAACGGACTTAAGAAGGCAACGTACGTTTCATTATAAGTATAACACGAAGCTTTGTTATATTCTTAATGAGATTATTAGTGTTGGTAGTTGTTAGTATTATTTTATTCATTATAGGTGAGTTTTTTCTGGAAAAGAAAAGAAAAAGAATTACTGGGAGGACCAAAGAGTGGAAATTTCCTGGATTTTGGTTTAAGAAGAGCGAAACCAGAGAAGAATGTTAGTGGTTTCTTCTTATTTTGATAAATAAGTCATATTTTCCTTCTTTTTGGTGTATTGACCAATATTGTAAATTGTTACTTTGGGACAAAGGGAACCTAGAAACTGTGGTCTAATAAGTTGGTGTTTGTTTGTTTAATTGAAGATTTCAAAGGTCAAATGTTCATTTTTGTCTCCTGTGTTTGCTTTTCAGCAATGGCCGGTAGGTGTTATTCATTGGGCTCCAAAATTTTCCTTTTTTTAAGAAGAAGAATTACATATCTTTCTCCAAGTTTGGTTCAGAAGAATACGCGCAACTGCTTTTCAGTTTTCACATACGCACGAGATATAAGTACATTTATTGTGTCTTCTGAGTGCATTGTCCTCTTCTATTCCTACTTATAAAATTACTTGTAATAACATGTCTGGCCAACTAAAAAAAATTCTCATTCCAATAAAGAAAAATCTTAAATTTTTTAATTTTGCCTTAAAATTTAGGAGTTTTTCAATTTTATCTTTATTTAATATATATGGTTTTAAAAAAAAGTAACCATCTACACAACAATAAATAAATAGTAAAATAATAATGAGATTGAGTTTGACAGAACGAGCTAGTTCTTTTTTTTTTTTAATTTTAATTACAGCTGCATGAGAGGCTTACATATCAGTACCTACAGAAGTAAAAATCTGAGAGACGTCACGTTGGAGATAACCACGGATACTATCAGGGGGACTACGCAAAGCAAGGAAATCAATCCCCATGTTGTGTGCTTCAGCTGCCAATGCATCTGCCACCGAGTTCCCATCTTCACAACATCTAGAGGAGGTGGTTTCCAACCTTGCCGCAAAGACACCCCTATCTGTTGATGTAACGGATTCTGACTACCCCAGGCTAGACAAGCTTGAGAGCGTGCGAGAAGAGAATCGATGCTCCAACCTTGATTATTAAACACGCGACCATTTCGTCTCAACCATAAGTTGCGGCATACTATAGGAAACCAGAGACGAAATTCATGGCCTCCAATCGAAAAACGGCTGCCAATATGTAACATCCTGGATAATCCTTCGATCCTTAATATAGGACCTAATTGTTAAATTGTTTTTATTCTAAATATAAGACTTATTTATCATATTTATCAGTTTTTCCAAAATTATCTATATGGATCTTCCTCAACCATAACCAAGTAGAAGAGGGGGAGAGGATATTAAGAAAGATGATTATAGTGTTTTAGGAAAAACATGTCATATTTCTTATAATTAACTAACTTACCTAACCTTTTTAATATAATTAAATTAGTTTAATAGGTCTTATATTAAGAGTCAGAGGAGTATTACTTTAAAAAAAACAGAGAGAAAGTAAAAAAAAAATTAATTAAATAATATAAATAATTTTATTATTATAAAATAATAATATTTTATTATTAAAAAAAACATTGAACTTTTGCACCGAATTCAACGCCAAAGCTGAGTGTGTTAAAGGTGAAAAAGAAATTGGAGGGGGGTGGCGCATTAATAAGAAAGAAAAAGGGGCGAGGTATTAACGAAGGAAGAAGAAAAAAAAATGAGGGACGGTTGAAGCTAGAAGGATAATTGGACAAGCGGAGGTGATAGCAAAGAACGAACAAGAGGGTGAGCGAGAAGTCTTGCAAGTACATGTTGTCTGAAGAGTAAAACAAACATTTACGGATCGTTTAGGTACATAAAAATATTTTTTTATTAAAAAATTTTTATGAATATTTTTTATATATTTAAAACTTTACATTAGTAGTATCATTATAATATTTAGAAAAAATTTTGTGATTTGGGTACAGAGTCAATATTGAGTTTTAACAATAGATGGCCATAGAAATTTAGAGGTAAATAAATAATTAATTTTAATCAGTTTAAATTTCTCCATTTACTATTTTTGGTATTTAAAATTAAATTTATTTTGTTAAAAAATCTGTCATTTATGATATATATCATATTTATGTGGATTAAAATTAAGTTAAATAATTTATTTGGGTTGTTTGATATATTATTAAAATTTTAATCAAGTTATATTTATTTATTGATTATTTTGAGAATTTTGAACAAAAATTTTAGTTGAAAAATGTATTATTCAAAACATATAGAATGTTTTTACCGATTAAAATTAAGTTAAATAATTTATTTGGGTTATTTAATATATTATTAAGATTTTAGTTGATTTAAAATATGAAATAGGTTAAGGATATGTTATTAGAAAAATTTTAAAGCTGGAAACTTAAGTTATAAATTGAGAATTTTACAACGTTAGATAAAAACAGTTTATGTATATAATTTGAATGAGTTATTTGGATAGAGAAAAATTGTTATTGGAAATAAGAATTTTTGGGTAGCAAATATATATTATTAATAATAAATCCTATGCAATTTAAGTTATTTATTTGTATGTATATTAAATTATATCTATATTATTTGTAAATTATCTTGTACTTCGAAATTTGTAATTTGTGCTCTTATTTCTCAAGCTGTGAGATTAAGCTTGGAGTAGAGGTAACCGGGGTTAATTTATTTTATATGCATATTTTGGATTGTGAGGTATTTAATTTGCTTTTATTTTCTCAAATTAATTTGTGAAAGTATGTCTATGAATAAGTATGACAAATTTTGGTGAATTGTAAAGTACGTTGATTTAATTATGCTTGAGTTGTATGTTGCTGGGAATTATGTTTTCATGTGATGCTGAATTTGGTATTATAATATTTTGTTATTAAATAAAATAAAAATGTGTTATTCTTTGTTTGGAATTATATCATCTTAGTTTTAAGAATTATGATATTTTTAATTTATATTGTAAATATACATGGGATTCATATGTGGAGGTTAGGATTATGTTATGTGAAGGATATTTGTTCTTGAAGCCCATAAGGCATACCTACACTATTGATCATAGTGTTTTGGCTTTTTTGTTAAACCCCCATAGTTTTTCCTTTTTCATGGCCCAGAATTAAAAACGAACTCTTGGGTGGATACCTCTTGTACCATAGTCTATTCTTGGGCGGTGTAGGTGTAAGTGTAGGAGGGCTTGTTGCTTGATATGAATGGGGTGACTTTTGACCAGGTTACTCAGTACAGAAAGCTCGGGTCCTTGTCAAGGAGTCATAAGGAGGAGTATGGTGATGAGAGAGCATGTTTCATTATGTTGTTGCATGTGTACTTTTGTATGAATTGTGTGGTGGATGCACTACAACAAAATGTGTTATTTACCTCCCTCGTTTATGTCTATTTTGCAAAACAGAAGAGACTTCATGTCTGTTTTAAACAAAACAGACGTGAATTCACGTCCGTTGACCCAAAACAGACGTGAATTCACGTCCGTTGACCAGAAACAGACGTGAATTCACGTCTGTTTCTAAGTAAACAGACGTGAAGGGGATTCATTTTAAAAAAAAATTGCCCGCAGCGCAGCTCGCATCGGTAGTTATCTATCAGATTTGCATATGTACCGCGCGCGATCGAAGAACTCTCCAGCTCGCAGCTATCTCGCACCCAACTTTCAGTTTCGATCGGTCTCTCCCTCTCATTTTCCTCTTGTCCGTGAAGTAGCCGTGAGCTATTTCAACTTGTTTCGGTCTCTCCCCCTGGTTTCAGCTCTTCAAGGCCGTAGCCGGACTCCCTCCATTGCGTCGCTCATTCTGCAGTAGCCGTGTTGTAGCAGCTCGCCGTTGAAGCCGTGAAGCTCACACGCACAGCAGCTCACCGTCGTCGTCCTCTCTGTAGGCCGTTGATTCGAAGGCACGCCAGAACGGTGAAGGTAAGTTCATTCAACCGTTGCATTTTAGTGTGTTGTACGGTGGGTTTGAGTAGGTTGAGGAGTTTTGAATTGGTTTCTGAGGTTGCTGTTTAAATTTTTGCTGAAGAATTGTGTTTAGATAGTTTTAAATTTGTATATATTGATTGGGTAGAAATTTTAATGATTTCAAGCCTTGTTAATCTTGTTAGAAAAATAATGCATACAAGGTGTTTGTTAAAATGCCTAAGAGGGATTGCATTAGATAGTTTGCTATATGTGTTGAATTTAGATTAAGGATTGGGTATACATTAAATGATTAATGAAAAAATTGCATTTAGATAAGTTAAAATTTGTTTACATTGATTGGGTAATAGATTTGAAGTTTGAAATCATTTGCTTGGAATTGGCATGATTTATGTTGTAATTGGAATGAATCGGATTCAATTGATATCATTAGTTTTGAATTTGGTTAATGTTTATTGGGACTGTGCTGAATGGAATTAAATTGTTTATAATTCCTTAGGTAGTAACAGAATGGATCATAGTTGGATGAATGCTTTAAGAACAAGTGATGAATATGAGAACGGAGTAGAACGATTTATTGAATTTGCTAAACAGAATGCTCGTAGCAATAACGGAATGTATTTTTGTCCCTGTGTCAAGTGTTTAAATGAGAGGCGACTAAGTGTTGATGATATTAGAGATCACCTGCTTTGTGATGGTATAAATCTTCGATATACAAAATGGATATGGCATGGTGAAGTAGGAACAAGTTCAATACTCGAAGAAGAGGAAGATATGGATGATGTAAATGATAGAATGAGCGATATGATTCGTGAT